CAGAAAAATAGACTCATTAAGGATGTCGCAGAAAACAAGGATAACATCACAATACTGCAGGATATGTGGGGTGACAGAACAAACTTCCGAAGAAATATTCCGAATACATTGTTTAATAAAATCATAACATAATATTAAGATGTGAATTTCTGATGCCAGATTTATACTTCTATGGTGACCTTACTGTTGAAATATGCGCAGATGTCTCGGTCGAGTCAGTCCCGGAATTTCTCAAGTTTATTTTTGAATTGTAAATCAATTATTTATCCATCAAGAAATATTACTGCTTCGATCCATTGAATTTGTATATTGCATTGAAAAATGTTGTAAAGGTGGAGAATTTTGGTTATTTCCAAGTCCTATCAACCAAAAGTAAAGATCTTTCTGGTTATCATGGTTAGATATCTCCATTATCTTAAGATAAGATATAATCTTATCTTATCTTGACCAAATCTTCCCATTAACTGATAAGCTGTTAATGGTTGGCTATTACTGCTTTTCAAATAATTATCACCATTTCAAATGTAAAACTTACCGTCATTACAACTTATTTTTTATTTATTAACGATGTATTTACTAATTCCATTCTCTATATCATTTATTTCAGAGGTTGGAAGGACTTGCAATATTTACCGATTGGATATCTTTTTAATTAAGTTGTTGTTATAAGCTTTCACTCATCAATGTTCTCTGCTTCCTAATTAATCTAATGAGAGAAGTAAGCGTCAGTGAAGCATCTTCCTTCAGATTCCATTTCCCTAACTTGGTATTATGTTTTCAAGGACTAATTAATCCTTACCACTTTCAAACTTCGCTTACTCATTCTCACACCAAGCTCTCCACTAGAAATTAGTTGAATATAACGCTTAAATGAGAAAGTGAGAGACTTGTTACTAAAAAATGTACGAGAGGTTTCTTTTTACTGGACTGATAATTATTGTGTTACTTGTTGCTGTACTGACAATTGTTTATTACTTGTTATTGGACTGATAAGTAACAATATACCAGACAGATGATTAATCATTATCACAGCCGACAGATAATTACCTAATTTTCTCTTTTAAATGAAGCCTTTTAAGGTAATTCAGCTGCTAAAATGGTTACAGTCAGATCCATTATTATTACTATTATTATTATTTACTCCAGCTGTTTAGAATTCCAGTTAAGTGTCATCTTTGTGATGGGAAATAAACCGATAAAGATTTACCTTTGATTGTTCGTGAAGAAAGCCAAATTTTTATTCTGTAAAGTTAGCATCGGCCAATCGATCGTTATTATCCACTGTTTTAATTAGTCTAATAATTACTGATCGGTGAACATCGCATGATGAACATCTATCCAGCTGATAAAGGAAGACAGGTATAACAGCTGTATTCGATGTGCGCTCCAATATTCGTATAGAGGCGGAAAAAGAGGCAAATCACATCGATCAACGTTTATTTTCATCCCATAGTGCCAGTTCTACTTACAAAAATGGCCCACTTGAAGTACACATTCAATGTATGTCTACGCGTCATTTAAACAAGCAAGACACGTCAGTCATACTCTGAGAACAGGTGAAAGATGTTTCGTCCCACAATTCCTCTAATCATTCGCTTTACCAAATATAACTACTTCATTATGTACTCCAACTATCTTGAGGAAAACCTTCAAAGGGAACCAACTACTAGATAGTTGTTCGATTAGTCTTTCGCCCCTTATATCAAAATCAGACGATCGATTTACATATTAGAATCACTTTAAACTTCCAAGTGTTTGTGAACGTAAAAAATGAATGGGTGGGTCCGGTACCGGATAATGATATGATCGTTACAGTACTTTCTATAAGAAATACTTTGAAATTGCTAAAAATTCTTTAATTCCTACAATTATAAATTCACAGAGTAGAGAAGATACCGTTTGAATATCTTGTGAATTGCGCGTCCATTACGAACACTTTTATGATCAATTTGCGCTGATGAATTGATTTGAAATAGGTATAAATCAAGTTTGATAGCACAAACAACACAAGCACGATATTATTTCTGAAAACTTATAGAACTCACTCCCGGTAATTTTAATTAAACAGTAAATAGCAATATAGAAAACGAAACAAGAGCTTGACATTACTCGACAAATGGCAGTGTCGTCTCTATTCATTTGGAAATCCCGGTAAACAGTATTGGTACATCTTAGCGCTGCCCGTCTGTTAGCACAATTATTCCTTTGATGATTATCAATGTTAAATTTGTAGATCAAAACTTGAAGATTATTTCAAAAATAAATACTAAGAGAGCCGATACGATTCATCTAGATCAGTGATCTGATACGATTCCAGATCGACTCATCTAGATTAATGATCTGATACGATTCATCTAGATCAGTGATCTGACACGATTCATCTAGATCAGTGATTGCCAACCTTTTCTCAACCACAGATCGTTATGCTTTATTTTCATTTGAAGCAATGAACAAGGGGTTCAAAAATAATAACTCCTGTTAATTTGATAATAAACTGTTATCAAAACTCCCAACACATTAGTTTATCAAATATTGATAAGAATAGCCTCCGCCTATTTTCTATTGATCGTGCCGCCGCCTTTGCGAACCATATTTTTTATATTCGATCAAAAATAATTGACACTGCTCAGATGATGCATACCTGGGTTAATGAGATATTAAGTATAATTAATGTAATAAGACATTAATGAAGCTAACTGATGCGGCGCTAATCTCCAAAATTTATTAGATGCCGCATGTTTAGCCAAATCACTGGCACGAGAAATGAAGTAGCAGCGTGTATACTTGGACGAAATTTAACAGACCGTTCCATTCTTGTCATAATTACCGCCTCCTGAGCTGTTTGCTGTAGAGTTTGTTTAACTTACATACGTGAGTAGGGTTTTGGCGGTGTCATGCGTTGTGCCAATCACGTGCACATCTAAGGAGCAGTTTCAAATACGTACGTGTCTATCGATACGTGTTCCAGTTGTCGTTTCATCTTGTTATGCTTAGAATATATTCAACTATTTAAATATTTTGAGTTTGCATTTTAAGTATTTTCAATTATTTAAATATTTCAAGCTTGTTGAAGCTTAATTTATCATCATTGTGCCTTTATTGCAAAGTTCTTTCATCGCGACTTGTTCCTAATGTCGTCAAGTACAAGTATACTTACCATGGGTCATCCTGCTTACAACTGGGTTGCTTGCTAAGTGTTTAGATCATCAAACTTCGTAATATGAATAGTCTAAATCATTTAAATTTTTCACAGTTAATCCGTGTGAATTGTTTCATTTTACCTGTTAGCGCTTCACTCAAACACTTTGTATGAACAAATTGACTATGGCATGAAGTTTACAGGTTAAATTGGGGAATATCCCTTTGTTTTCTTAATTTGCACTTTCTGTTTTGTATTATTTTATGGAAAAATGGATCTGTTTTCGAGGGAAAGGAACTTTCTTCCATATGTTGTAGACGCTGATACGTAACAGCTGGAAGGAACAATATACAATATGACTTGACTTTGTTCGCCGTAACACTTTGGTTTTTTTCAACCGATTCCGAATTATGATAATAATCCTTTTCACTTATGCGGTAATTATTATATTTGGTACATATATCCTAATGCATAAAGTTAAATATATGATCCTACCCTGAATGTGGCTTGGTAAGTATTCAATATCAAGTGTAACAGAGGTACTGAGAATCGAAGATCTTGTACGAATAGTCGTATTTTGAGTAGGAGAAAAATTTTTGCTGGCTTATAAAGGGAAGAAGATGAATAGAGATTGAGGAAAGGTAGCATATTGTTGGGTGGTTTAGAGACTAATGTACTAGTTATCGAGCTGAAATAGATTTGGCTAGCATCATTGATTACTTATCGCAGTTTGTTTACCGAAGCAGCTGCTCCCTTTGTTCTCATTCTCATCGCATTACTATTACAATTACTAGTTTTGCAGTAAAGCTTAAAGAACGAGATTTAATAAGTATCGCTTCTTTATGTTCCGCTTCGTCATCATTCTTATTTTTCCTCCTTTTTTTGCTTTGTTTCGTTCCGGAAATCCATAGTCTTCCATCCATTTTCTTATAAACGTAGGAACACATAATGTTTGCTCTGCGACTTTTTCACACTATTTATGTTAAAATTATTTCTCGAATTTAAAATTATATAAACCTGAATTTTCTGTTCAACACGAATCATCCAAATGATAACAGACTTCTTAGATCTATTGTTACTATTTGGAAGATTCTTGTAAAACAGACGGTAGGCATAGCAAAGCTACTGTGGATATCTTTATCACTGACAAATCCTAATTTTTGTAACATACTAATCATTTCACTTCTACTTATATGACGATTCTCCTTTGTTTTCTAGTTAATTGCATCATGACCATCCATTTTATCTTTCGGTATATGAAACCAACTTTCCATTATTGTGGCGCATGCATGATATAATGTTGAACTGTGATATTCTAATGTATTGGTTAAACCTATGATTTGTTCTTAAAGAAAAAGTAGTAAACCGTTTTCAGTGTTTCGTTATATATGAAATGAACATGTTTCAAATAATTCTTAACAGCGGTAAGTGATCGAAACATCGTTTTGCAAATATAGAAATGATGTCCAGAGATTATGAATGTGAAATAATGAGGGTAATATCAAATTGCACTTTGGACTTTTTGTAGTCCATTTTATACTCACTAGCAAATGAAAACATGTTTTCCATCAAAAATATAAACTGCATGAGAAACTCATGTTTGCTAAAATTAGTAATTACGGTTATATTTTTTCCTGTAAAGCATACAAGAGTATGAAGTGAAGCTTTTAGTAGTTGTTGAACTTTCGTTTTATTTATTTATTTGTATTTTTTATTTAAGATTAATAAGTCAATACTAAGCTTTAGTGTTGTAATTGAATAGACGACCTGATTTTATATTCTTCAAGTTTTAGGATTTCTGTTTTGCGTTTCGATCTAGTTTACAAGAATAAGCCTTCTTAAAGCTACTGTGGAAGTTATGTTAAGGACACATACATCCATTTGGACGAAGTGTAATTGGTACCATTCAACGAAGAATTTTCGGTAAAAACGGTCGTATCCGGAGAAAGTGTCATTAATGGTCTGCGGTGGAATGGATGGTGTGATCAATGGTGATTTGAGCTCTGGTTTCGAGAATTTGACATGTGTACGATGTCATGATGGCTTCGATTTGAATGAACAAATTGTTAATTCTTCCGGACAAGTATGGCATTCTGATTGTTTTGTGTAAGTCTTGATCTTTTTATGGGCGCCAATTTGATCCTGAAAATGTTTTAAAATAAATTAAAATTTTATTTTATTAACGCAAGCTACTCGCATTTGCTATCGGATTGTATGAACTTAATTAACCCGTGAACTCAGATAATTGATGCTGTTCATTTGAAAATATTTGTCAACTGGAAAAATCTTAATAAAAAAAAAAAAAAACAATGTAATGCTTGCCTACATTTTTGGAAACGAAATCTTAGTAATGAAATCATTGTTCAGTTTCTTTGCTGGGTATCCTTCTTTTCTACATCTTCCCTAAAAATATTTTCTTTAGGAAACAGTAAATCTTAGATTATCAAGTTGAAAATATTAGATTACGATTCATCCATGATGTTTTGTGTTGCTTCCATGCTAGTATTCGAATGAAAACTTCTACCTCAATTGCTGCATTGTTAAGGATCTCAGATACTTTATGGCTTACAACTTGGAGTACTCTTGAATTCTATTTTTTATTGTCCAAGTCGTTACAAAAATATATCCCATATGTTGGTCAAATTTTGCTGTAAATTGGATAGGTAGAAGTTTGAAGGAACATGGTTTCTTACCATGTGTTTTTTTCATCCCTTCGTTTTTGGTATTCGACGATAACTTTAACTGTTGGAAAAAATTGAGCCTTGAAGAGCGTGTTGTACAGTATCCTTTGAAGCATACTTCATCTTAGACATTGAGCTCCTCCTCTTTTTTGTTTCATAACGCTTCGAAAACTGATAAGGGTTAGAAAGAGAAGTAATGCTATTAGTAGTTCAACTGCTGGCATGTTTTTCTACTTATTTCTTTTCATATTACTATCGCAGCTATTCTTATTACTGTTATATTACAGTTGTTCCCAGTGTTTCGAGCCGTTCCCGGATGGCATATATTTCGAATTTGACGGACGAAAATACTGTGAGCATGATTTTCATGTCTTATATGCTCCGTGCTGCAACAAATGTAGTATGTTTTCTGTTTGTTGTCCATTATTTTGATTTCTTTATTGTTTGATACTGAAGATTGATATATTAGTTTAAAAAGTTCGGTTTCTTACCTGTATCCTCAAATATTCAATTTCCTTCTTTGTGTTTTTTCTCTCGCCCAAATTTTACGGAGGAGTAGTCGACAAACAGCACTTAAACGATATCATAAAGTGTTTCACATGAAACATATAAATACTTCGAGTGAAAAAATGTATGGGTCAGATATTAAAAAAACTGTTATTTTGTTTCTTCTTTTAGATGAATTTATTGTGGGACGAGTAATAAAGGCAATGAATGCTAATTGGCACCCACAGTGTTTCCGATGCGAATTATGCAGTAAGGAACTTGCTGATATTGGATTCTTGAGAAACTGTGGGAGGTATGTTTAAATTCACCCTCGAATTTAAATTGTAGAGATTTTCTTGAGGCTTAGGAACAAAGCAACAAAAAAAAATTGATGAATTCGAAGTTTTTTTTAATAAGAGCGATACTTGTAAAACAATACTTTTAATGGACTGCTTGCATTTTTTCAGATTTTTTACGACAGTCAGAAAAAGAACAAAATCCTTGCAAGGGAAATCTGTGTTATTTCTGTGACGAGTTTGCTATTATATATTGCAGGGCGCTTTGTCGTGAATGTAATGAGCGAGAAAAGGAAGCGGGTCGTGGTCGTTATGTATGCCACAAATGCAAAGGAATTATTGAAGATGGTGGCCATATTAAATATCATGGCGATAGCTTTCACCCGTATCATTTTAAATGTAAACGTTGCGGGTAATTTTTAACTCAAATAACCAAAATTAATTGATTATTTTTAACTAAAAAGTAATCAGAATTAATTTATATCAGCAAGGATTCAAATGAATAGAAGGGACGAGGGATTGAAACTGTTATTTCTAAGGAATATGCTTGATAGCAGAGTAACTGAAGTAATATGTAAAGAATTAAGAATGAAACTTCGATATGTGTTTCATGTTTTTCAGTGTGGAATTAGATACAAATTCACGTGAAGTTGGTGGAGAATTGTATTGTTTGCGATGTCATGATACGATGGGTATACCGATATGTGGCGCATGTCATAGACCAATTGAAGAACGTGTGGTTACTGCATTAGGCAAAAATTGGCATGTTGAGGTTAGAATATATCATTAAATTTTCACGATAATAATTCTTTTTCTGAAATCATTCTCATTATTTTCTATTTTTATTCAATTATAATAATAATTTGAAAAGAAGAAAAAAACAATGGAAAAATTACAGCATTTTGTTTGTGCCGTTTGTGAGAAACCATTTCTTGGTCATCGTCATTACGAGAAGAAAGGATTAGCTTATTGCGAGCAACATTATCATAAGGTTAATTTTTCAGCTATTTATTGGTAGTTGTGTGTTAAAAGGCCCGCAACTTGCACTATAAAGCAGAAATAAAGACATGGGGTGATGAGCATTTATTAATCTTCCGGCTAATTTTTTTTATACTTCATGTTATGATTATTCAACCATTTTTGTTTATTTCTGAAGACCGCACTTTGGTATTGGGTGTCGTCCGAATATCCACTCATAAATGTGAAAATAAAAAGGAAACTTTTCCCGTGTTTCAATGTTTTCACCACCATAGTATACCACTTAAAAGAGACAAAGCTGCATTATATATCATTCATCAAACACTAGCAGTCGTGATGCGCAATATTTTAATATCATTTTGTTGTATATGGTCTCACTGCTACTCCAAGATTGTACTATCGATTTCAATAACTTTGAAATTTAGCTATACGGCAATGTATGCTTCAAATGTGGTAAAATATGTAGTGGTGAAGTATTCCAAGCGCTTAACAAATCTTGGTGTGTCGATTGTTTTGGTTGCAGTCTTTGCGATAAAAAAATGGATCATAAGTATGCAATTTTTCTTCACAAAATCATTTTCTTGGCTTTCAAAAAATGAATTTTATTTCATAGTTTCTTTCTATATATTAACGACGTTTAATTCAAAAAGAAAAAAATGTGCTACATTTCATGTATAGTAGAGGAAATCTTAAACGTAGTCTCACGTCAGTGGTTCCAGTCTACAGTTTGATTTTGCACAGAATGATTTATTATTTTTTTGATACGAAATGAAGTATGGGTAATCGGTTGTGATCGTTTTAAGATTTTCATGTCTTGAATGATTGGAAAAAATAAGGAATTGGAAAGTTCCTTATAAGCTCGTGGTAGATCCAGCAGATCTAATGTATTATTATTTCCATGTAAAAAGTGGTTTTTAGTAGAAAGGAAATGACTTTTTATCCACTGTGATGAATTTCTTCCAAATTAAAATGCTCTTTATGAAACTTCAGGACAAAATTTTATGAATTTGATATGAAACCAACATGTAAACGTTGCTACGATCGTTTTCCAACGGAATTAAAGAAAAGAATTAGTGACAGTTTGAAAGAACGAGATCTGGAAAATGAGAGGAACAAAATGATGTTACAAAGGCGATCAACCAGTCCAATCCAACAGCAAACAAATATCTCTAAAAGATGATGTATAGAGCTAGAACTTTTTGATCATCTATTTCCACCAATTTCTATGTCTTCTATCACATAGGGAAATCCTGGTAACAATATTGCATTTGCAGTCACGGAACACTTCGGTCTTTCTACTCTCTGTGTTTTTCAATCCCTGAAACTGATTCTCCGTTACTCGACAAAACTCGACATTTTGCCAATTTACGTTACTCGACATTTACCAATTTCTATCACATTACTGCACTGTATTATTTTCGCTGCTCAACCACTATGATTTTTTCCATATTTCATTTATCACGACAATATAATAATGCCTATCACTGGTTATAAGCGATAACAACAATAACGGTTTTGAGCATCTACTAGTAATGCTGCTTGTTTGTGTTTTACAGGATTTGGAGAACCTAGAACTTTTTAAAGCAAATATCCGTCTTACTGAATGCACTAGTACCATCAATTTTTATTTTACTTGCTGTATAGTTATCGTTCTGTTTTTTTTTCGATGACGAGTGTATACTTGTTTAAATAGCATAATATTATAATTTTCCACACTTCTGTTGTTTTATCAATCTGGTTAACATAAAAATTG